TTAAACAACTCAAATTCTATTAGCTGACTGTGTAGATGCACATAGCTAATGTCTACTACCTTACTAGCAATAAAACTGGCATCCATCTAATGATGAAGCATATTGTTTTATATACATATTTTCTCTATCCCGGAATGTGGAAGGAGATCTGCCCTTGCTTTTGCAATATATCTGATTATGTATGAAAGTACAGATGCTAGATGACGGTAATCAGAAACACTAAGTGAATGAATCCTAGACTTACTGAATTTGTTATTAAATAAGATGGGGAATGAAACAAATTCTACCTTGGATTTCTAAGTAAGTCCTAATTGTACTAAAAAAAAGTAAATATAAATAATATCCCAAAACTCAAATATTTAGCTCTTAAAATACTATGAGATATTTTAAAACATAGTATAAGACCAATATTAATCACAATTAAGTTTTTTGATGAAAATAAAGGTTTTTGAAGATTTATGTGACTATAATTTCATGACAGTATATCCTATGTGCCTAACTATGAAGTAAACAATTATCTGTTGCAAAAATGAGGCAACTAACTTGCCCAAGGTCATAAAGCCAGCAGGTGGCCTGGTCCAAGTTCTAGAAACCATTAGTTATTCAAATTATAGAGCTTTGAGAGTGAATGAGAACACTAAAACCTGGTGGATTAAGGGATTAAAAGAAGACACCGTGGTTATTCACTACTGTCCAATTTTCTACATTAATTATCTCCAATTCTTCCTCTTCATTCTCTCCTGAACCCAATCTAACTAGATTACTGATCTCACTAATTTACTGAAATAGCTCTTTGCTGAGGAAGCCAAAGACCTCCACACAGTTAAATCCAATTAATTGTCAGAATCATCTTAATTTTAACCAGCTAAACAGTTGGTATACTGTCTCCACTTGATTTGAAAGACAGCACCTTCCTTGGTTTGCCTTCTGTCTCACTAGTTGCTCCTTCCCATCTTCTTTGCTGGTCCCTCTGATTGACCTGACAACATTTGCATCCCCAAAGCTTAGTTCCCAGACCTCCTCTCTTTTACATTCATTCTCTTGTGTGAACTCATCCAGTTATATGGTTTCCAATTATCTTCTAAGTAATTAATAGTTCTGGCCCAAACTATTATGGTTTGGATGTAAGATATCTCCCAAAAGCTCATATGTGAGACAACTGCAAGAAGGTTCAGAGGAAAAACTATTGGGTTGTGAGAGTCTTAACTCAATCAATGAATTAATCCCCTGATAGGGATTAACTAAGTGGTAACCAAAGTGGTAGGGTGTGCATGAAGGAGTTGGGAATTAGGGCATGGCTTTGGTGTATATATTTGTAACTGGAGAGTGGAGTCTTTCTCTGCTTCCCTCACCACACTGTCCCACAAGGAAGTTCAGCTTCACCTGAAGCTATGAGTAATAGAGCCTACTGTCTATGGTTTAAGACCTCTGAAACCATGAGCCCTCAAATAAACCTTTTTTCGTCTACAGTTGTTCTGGTTGGGTCCTTTTAGTCACAGGAAAAAAAAAAAAAAACTGACTAAAACATAAACTTTCATGCTTGAACTCCAGACCTAAAAAACCAAATAGTCATATGCCATCTCCACTTCAATGCTTAATAAACACTATAAATTTGGTGTGTTCAAACCCCAAATTCCTGATTTTCACTCAACTAGATTCCTATTCCATACTTCCCCAACTCAATAAATAGCAACTATGGCAACTGCATCCTTCAGGTTATTGAAGCCAAAATCTTAGAACTGACTTCAATTGTGTTCGTTCTCTCTCTCTCTCTCTCTCTCTCTCTCTCTCTCTCTCTCTCTCTCTCTCTCTCTCTCTCTCT